TCAGTTCATGGCTTGGTGGGGGGAGTGGCCCACGTGAGACAGTATTGTTCAGTTTGAGGAGCGGCATTGTCTCTGGAAGCAGGTAATGGTGTCCATTCTCAGACCAGACCATTAATGTCATTTCATGTAGAGCAGCCATAGCATCTCTGTGACTGCACTCAGAACTGTGTCAGAACTGGGTGATTCTTAGTGAAGCCGTCCAAGGCCATAGACAGAATGGAACCACGTACCAACAAAAGGGACACAAGGTCATCAATGTCTCTCTTTACCATTGGCCTAATTGCACAACAAATTAGTGGGAAAAATGTGGAGCACTAATCCATCATCATGTGAAATGTTGAGTTAATCTAAATAATTACTTATGGGTTGAAATCAAATTAACATTATAACTAAAGTCAGTCATAATTGGACTTTGCACAGATCCGAATCTAAGCAATACACCATTTCCCCAGCTCTGTAATGAAAAGGATAACAAGATTAGGTACATTACAGGAGTGTTCCACACCCAAACATGCACACTTATCTTATTCTAGTAGAGATTAGAGGACAAGGTCTAATGTTGTGAACAAAATGATCAAATCAAAGTTATTTTGTTTATTGTTATGTACCTAATTTAATTTAATAATTAATCTTGAATTACTAATAACTTTAAAGAAGGCAACAATTTGCAATTTGGATAAAGTGATTACTCATCCAAAGTGTGTGTGTGTGTGTGTGTGCTTATCTGCCCAAGGTTTAAAACATTTGGGACAGCACAGCAGTGAGAATGTTATGAGAACCAATCTGTTGTTTACACTAAACTCGAAGGAAGCTAGACTGGAACATTTTAAATAAATCAAAACACTTGCACATTAATTAAATACATTTGACATTTAGCTCGAGCTGGGTTCAATACTTTTCTTTATGGTATTTAAAATTGGGCTCGAGTAGAACCCCTGGATTTGGCTTGCAACACAAAGTGATACTGATCTCTGTAGGACTTGGAAGTGTTATGATTCAAAGTGCCTGTGAAAAAGAGGCCCTTGGAAAACAACACCTATTTTATAACTGTAATTACTTATTTTAAAGAAATTGCAACATTATACTTTTAAAGAATTGCTCAATTAATTTAACACATTTATTATGCACACAATAAAAACTTCAACAAATATATTGATCCTGGCTTAACCAGCGACCTTTACTCTATTGTTCATAAGCTCGGTTTCAGAAAACTTGTCAGTAGTTTAACAACTATTTTAATGTTAGTAATGTCTATAGAGACCAATTGGTTGATACTAGAAATATTTTCAAGCAGTTTAATAAATAATGTTAAACTATTTTTAAAACTGTAATTGAACTTCAACTTATATTAATTACCTGATTCCAGTGGCCAGTTGGAACAGAATAATTAACACAGTTTCCATTTTGCTGCAACAGCGCAAAAGGTTTCAACAACAATTAGTATTATGTCTGAGTCTAGTTCTGTCTTATCTGCTTTGTTTCGGAATGTGTTCAATACATTACGTTTTTATTCATTATTACTATACAATACATAGATTAAGAATAAATGAAACAAATAATACAACATTGACCTAAAACCAGATTTTGCAACCCTGATCTCCTCAGGCAAGTCTCTGAGGGTCTCGGGGCGCAGGACGGGCATAGGGTTTATACAAGGTCACAAAGATATCTTAACATACCAGCAATACCATTTAAGAATGGATTCTTAAAGCAATATAATCTTATTTTCTTCTTACACCTACAGCGCACACCCTGCACAGTGGGCTTCTTGTTTACATTTCCCCTGCACTCAGAGGCAGGACATAAAAACACTTTTTATTTTTCTCAGGTCATTTACTTTTGGTGAGATAACTACAGTTTAGTTCATTTTACCCTATCTATGGACTGATTAATTATTAGTTGTTACAAAACATACACAAGACGGCGGGACAAACCAATATAGACCCCCATACAAACAATCAGACAAACAAAACATGAACTCTTAATAAACACCAGCGCGACAGCAAAGCTCATCCAGCTCAATTTAGTCCGGATTTTAGAGATCTTAGAGGGGGTGGGGAATTATCTCCAGTGCGGCGTCTTCTCACGCCTCACCCTTGTATACAAGTTATTTATCGGTGCCTGAAAGCCGTCCAAGAGTGATAACTAGCTTATCCTCTTGCGACAACCACTAGGCTATTTGTTTCTAGTGGCGCTGTGCCCCCCCGATCGGAGCCCACAGACTTTTCCCCTGCCCTTTCTCTCCAAACAACAGCTCAGTTGACTGTAGTCCGTACGACCAGCCTATATACACTTGCTATCGAGTTCACCTCAAGGTGAAACACAGTTTGCCTATGCTTGCTTGCCACTACACACCTCTGATCAATTAGCCTATAATTGTATGTATGCACTCCTGACCGCCACCTGCTCCAGAGAGCCGTGGCGCATCGGGTGATGCACGCACTTCGCGCTGGCCCGTCTAACCATGAGAAAAGCGGTCCTAAACAACGAGTGCTTTTAGACCGTCCCGTTTGAAGGACGGTGGTGCCGTGAGTTAAAGCCTATAGGCAATAAGCTGTGACTTTCTCCCTCTCAGCCTGCACTGCTCCAGCCCCACACACACACGGTGAGGTTTCTTTTACACACACACACGCAAGGCTGCAGCTGGAGCCGTGTTTCTACAGAGAGGTGATAGCAGCAAATATCTTTGGCTGCTTATTTTCAACTGCTGTGCTTAGCCACTAAGACCCTCAAAATCCGGCGATTTGTCCAATACAAATCTTTTACATTGCTTTCAATTCACACAGAAGCTCCACTTCACTGATGCCCTTTCCTTAAGGTATCTCTAAACATGAGCTGTGTATGCCTGTATGGCACTTCCGTCCCGAGCAGCATACACAGAGGAAATAAGCCAGGACTGAGTCCCCAGACACTGATTCCCTGGGTTTATTATCCCCAAATGTTCATTAACCAAAAGGAAACGCAGCCGCTCAGTTTCACAGGTAATTTTAGGATACCGTCAATCACAGATTCTGATAAGGCAATGTCCAAAGTAGATTTGAAAATCACACTTACCACAATCTGAAGATCTGTTGGCATCCTGCCGACAACGCCAATTTGTAGCGGAAACTTCTGTGTCGCTATGCAGTGGGAGTCACCGACTCAGGAAGGAGACACGGGAAGAGCAGTAGCTTTGATGTCAAACACATGATGGTTTATTTGGAGTTAACGGCCGGAGGATTCACATCACAAGTCCAAGAGTCAGAGGTTCTGACTTCACGGTAGAGTTGCCACGTCAATTCTGGAGAGCCTCTCTCTTGCCAGCCCATCTAACTGGTTTCGCAGAGAGTAAACAACATATTTGAGAAGATAGCCTAAACAGTGTGGGAACACAGAGCTACTTGCCTCGGACACTTATGACCTCGAATATTTTACCTTGGAGTCCACAAATACAGAGAAGGAAGTGTCCCAGTGTACCCACAACACAGACCATCTGTATCCCAGTATTGACCGGTCACAGAATGGGAACAATAACATTATTGGCTAAGCCGCCTGTGTCCTTAAAGAAGGTAAACAGACATCGAGGTTTGTCCTGTATGTTACAAATTGGCATGATAATTGATGATGATAATTATTTCCACAACAGGGAGCTCATTCCACCATCTTGGAGCCAGGATAGCAAACCCACGTGTTTTCGCCGATGGGAACTTGGGTCCCCCTCGCAGCGAGGGCGCAACGAGTCGTTTGGCTGATGCAGAGCGTAGTGCACGCGCTGGGGTGTACGGTTTAACCATGTCCTGGATGTAGGAAGGGCCAGATCCATTCGCAGCACGGTAAGCAAGTACCAGTGTCTTGAAGTGGATTCTAGCAGTTACCGGAAGCCAGTGAAGGGAGCGGAGGAGCGGAGTGGTGTGGGAGAATTTAGGAAGGTTGAAAACCAGACGAGCCGCTGCATTCTGGATGAGCTGCAGAGGTCGGATGGCACATGCAGGTAGACCAGCCAGGAGGGAGTTGCAGTAGTCTAGGCGTGAGATGACGAGAGCCTGGACCAGAACCTGAGTCGCTTTCTGAGTCAGCTGGGGACGTATCTTCCTGATGTTGTAAAGCGTGTATCTGCAGCAGCGGGTTGTAGCAGCGATGTTTGCAGTGAAGGACAGGTTGTTATCTAGGGTCACACCCAGATTCCTTGCAGTCTGAGTCGGGGAAACAACTGAGGTGCCGATGTTGATTGTCAGGTCAAGAGTTGGACAATCTTTTCCCGGGAGGAAGAGCAGCTCAGTCTTGTCAAGGTTGAGCTTGAGGTGGTGAGCAGACATCCACTGAGAGATGTCAGCTAGACAAGCAGAGATGCGTGCGACGACCTGGGTCTCTGAGCGGGGAAAGGACAGAATTAATTGGGTGTCGTCAGCGTAGCAGTGGTAAGAAAAACCATGCGGGCTAATGACTGATCCGAGCGAGTTTGTGTACAAGGAGAAGAGGAGGGGACCAAGAACAGAGCCCTGAGGGACCCCCGTAGTTAATTGACAAGGGTCGGACTCAGACCCTCTCCAAGTCACCCTGTAGGTACGGTCTTTCAGGTATGAGGTGAGGAGGGAAAGTGCAGAGCCAGAAACTCCAAGTTTTTGGAGAGTGCGAAGGAGGATCTGATTGTACCACCATGTCATAAATACTTGTGTGTGCTGCTCTTGCTCTTTTGCACTTTTTGCATATCATGTATTTGTCTTTGTTATGTGTATAATTGTCATGTTCTTAAATGTTTTATGTAAGGGACTGCGGATGGAAATGAGCTCCAAGCTACAAACTGGCATATTTACACTATTTGCATTTTCTTGTTTTAAGACTCGGACTGGGTGAAATTGTGCAGTGTTGACTTTTAGCGCTTTTCCCAGTAGACAGAGCTGTCAGAGCGGTTCTATGCTGGTTTAGCTGGCCAGGCTGGTCTTGAACCAGCATGACAAGCCTGGCAAGCTTGTACAGCCAGGTAAACCAACTAAACCAGCCTAACACCAGCTAAAACCAGCAACCATCTTAAGCTGGTCATTGGTCAATGCACTGCCTGGGCTGAAATAAGGAGAATAAGAAGGGGGCTATATTTCCATCAATTCTTGAAGAGACAGCTGGACATAAAGACAGACATGATGGAGAAAAAAACGATTGTGTTTTCTGTGCTACTGCTGCTGCTGGGGTGCACATGGACCATCCAGGCAGACGTTGATGAGGTGACTGGCTGACCTCTTACTAAACATTATGTTGGTTACATGTACATTTCTGTGGAATATTGTATGGATGTTGGTTCTTTATATTAATGATCTGCTGTGCAAACATTTAGAACGTGTTTTACCCTTATCTTGAAACATGTTTAATTGAATGTTTAGTGGAATATTTGTATAAAAGTTTTCAAATGTCTTGTCTCACTCTCTGTCTGTCTTTGGCTCGGAAACAGGTGGAGAAACCTGTGAATCGGACTATGGATCCTGCACACGTGGAAGACTTCGATCCTGTTTCAAGTATGCCCAATATAACCTTGTTCAATACAATAGGTAATAGATTAGTTTACTTACCCCGGTACACTTGATGTGCAGTGAGGCTAACTGAGTGCTGTATGGTAAATTAGAGATCCTGAATCTGATGTTAAAATACTAACTAATGTTGTCTTCCCCTTCCTGTTCTCTCTCTCCCTGCAGAGGTCTGTAAAAAAGCACCAGAAACAGGTCCTTGTGAGGCATACATGGAAAGGTACTTCTTCAACCCCTCCTCAATGACCTGTGAGATCTTCTTCTATGGCGGGTGTCTGGGCAACCGGAACAACTTTGAAGATAAGGCCAAGTGTATGTCACACTGCAGAAGATGAGGATGACACAAAAATTGGGTCTGATTAATTGTCCCATGTTGCTTTGAAAACACACACCAATTTAGACGACAGCTGCCAAGTGTTAAACACTGTGAATGTTATCTGTCTCAGCTTTTGGACTGTCTGTATCACGATATTAAAGTTGAACATTTTACTTGTGCTGTTTTCTGTTTTTTAAGTATACTTATTTATTTAACCTGGATCAGTAACAGCATTAAAATGCTTTACAAAATAGTATTTAATCAGGGAACGGCCTGAATCAATAAACATATTTGGCATTGCTATAAAGAACCAGTGTGGCAGCCTTTCAAAAGACCATTTTTTTTTTTTAAATGGTCAAGAATGGTCCTGCTTCATGAAACAAACCAAACAGCAAATGTGTCCTTCACAAGTAGGGCTTCATATGTTTAAACTAGGGCCGGGACTTTAACGCGTTAATTAAGATTAATTAATCACACAAAAATTAACGCGTTAAAAAAATTAACGCATTTTAATCGCACTTATTTTTGCACCGCGGAACGTTTCTCACTGGATGAGTTTCAGGCGTACCGATTATACTGGAGCACCAACTAACGTTCATGACTTCAGACAACAACAAACCACAGTGAACAACAGTGGGAAATGTTGTTTTAAAAAACGGACGGATGGAAGCGTCGATAAGAGCACGGTTGTGTGCAAATTATGCAAAAAGGAATTCGCATATCACCGCAGCACATCAAGCCTCAAGTATCACCTCAATGCAAAACATATAGCAGCTAGCGTGGAAGCTAGCGTGGACGTTAGCCTATTTTATCGCGTTCACACCAAAAAGAGCCGGTACTAAAATTAGTTCATGAGAACCTTTTTACCCCCACGAAAGTCCCTGCTAGAGAGCAGAGAGCTGCTAGAGAGCAGGGACTTTCGTACGGCTCTCTTGTGAGAAAATAGCTATATTTCTGATTGGCTGATTGCAAACCACGCCCCGTAAAACTCCCAAAAAGTTTTGTGAAGCCGCCATTTTATTATCCTCGCATTAGCATTATTAGCATTAGCCCAGCGCAGAAATGCAGAGAGACTAACTTATGGCAACACAAAATAAAACATGGGAGCGGTGGAGATGAGGAGGTGTCGGCGTTCTGGCGATTTACTCGGAAGGCTGCTGGGACTCCCAGCAGCTTCTACTGAAGCCAGTCCCCAACTCCGGGGACTTCCGGCCGGGGACTTTGGGCGGCAGTATACGCCGTGAAGTGGTTTGCGGCCTGCCAGTAAACCCAAAGCAGAAGAAGAAGAAGTGACGTCAGCGGCTTCATTTGCCTAATCCTCCCCCAGGTTCAAAGAGTTCTCATGAACTAAGTTCTCATGAACCTTTGTGGGAAAAGTACTGCGGTGTGAATGCGCCTAATGGTATACTAAAATCCATGTGAAAAAAATTGCTTCTCACTGTTCTCAGGTCAAATATTTACATGTGATTAAAAATGCGATTAATTTCGATTAATTAATTACAAAGCCTCTAATTAATTAGATTATTTTTTTTAATCGAGTCCCGGCCCTAGTTTAAACACATGAATAAACATCAATGTCAAAAAAGTAAAACGTGAAAAAGCGAGTAACGGTAAACTTTCCTCAATCGTGTGTGTTTGATGAGTGGAAGCAGGAAGCAACGTGTTCTTAATTGTAGCTGCAATAAAACATGAAACTTTACAAATGTATACAGCTGCTGCTACTGACAGTAAATAATGTAAACATAAAATATATATACTCGAAAATGCTCAAATACCAGAATATATAAAACACATACATTATGAGAACATATACTTGCTCTGATTACTGGGACACAACACCGCACATCAAACATTAGGAGTAACGAGTCTTTCAAAAAGTCCTTTCTGTGATATAGGGCTATATGAATACAAATAGCTTTACTTGACTGTACCATACCGTCTATTTGCCTGTCTGAAATAAGGAGCTGGGAAATAACTTTACATTTGTTCAAGAAGCAAAGAAGCACTACCTCAGCAGATAACAGTAACAAACAAGAAACAACAAACAAGAGTCATCCATTGTTTTTATTGGTGGTCTGCTGTAATGGGTGTTATGTGATTAAATTACCATATGAAAGTGTTTGTGATCAATACAGTTAGTTGCATGCCATGTAATTAAATGACAGTTATGTAACAAATGTAAGTAACAAAAAATCGGTAACAACCAAATGTAATGTTTTCGGTAAAAACTATTAAAAAAGGTATTGACAGATAAACCTGTTATATATTACATTTATAAATTGACCTTTCCAACATTTCATATATACCATGAGAGATGAGACAAAAGCATGACTCTTTATTGGGATGCTGATTCAAGTTGCATCTCTGTATTATGATGAGCAGTTTGCTCAGTTTGCTTTCAGGAGCTCTCTCTCGATAAAAGACCAAAAACACATAATTATTTCCTCATATCTGGGTGGATATTTCCATGTTTGTGTGTGTTTGATAACCCCTCACCGTCATTGACCACCTCACAGTACTCTTCACACTCGGCCTTGCTGTAGAACAGTGGCGGCGCTAGGGGGTGGCTAGTTGGGCTCAAGCCCCGGATGTTTTCTGAAAAGCCCCGGATGTTTCACTTAAAAAAAATAAAACAATTTTTTTTGAAAACGTCTCGGGAGTAATGTGCAGTACCGGAGTCCAACAGAGAGGCAGCCACTGTGGGACATTAGCCTGTGTACTGCGTATCCTGCCCTGAAGAAGAAGTGATCCTTCCTAGTGCTTGACGAGTTTTAAGCTAATAGCCTATACAGTTATGGATATTAGAAAGTTATTGTCATCGAAGCAGGCGCCACAAGCTGCAGCAGCAGCAGTATCAGCAGCTGACAACAATGTCATCACCAGCAGTCAAGAAATGGATGATGTTTCAGGTTTGTTAATCTAATGGTGATATCTGCACTCTGGCTGACTGAGTAAGAAGTGAAAAAGAGTGATATAACGTTAATGTTATAGCTAGTAAACATGGAGTAACCACACTAAGTATACCCTTATATGTTAGTATGTATACAGAACATGACTAAACATTATCCTAAGATGTAACCCTAACCCTTCATAACTCAGTCTACTTTTAAGACACTAAAATAACGTATTCCAATTTGTATTTTGTTTTCGCGCGTGGAATTATACCGGCTCTCGTTTCAGTACACATAACAACAGAACTGACAGGCAACCCTCTGAATCAGACTCCGATTGGCTGTGACTGCATCCACTCAGAGTGTCCGATTCAGAAACGTGACTCTTACACTCTTTACGTCACAAACAAAGATGGTGGATGAGAATAGATCTATAAAACGATAAGCAATGCGCCAGAATCAAGGTGAGACTATCCGCATCCTTTAAAACTCTACGCACATTCGTTTCACCTTAATAAGTAAACGACTATTTGAGTCAGTTAAGGCATTAGTTTGCTTCATTAAAGGGTGTTAATGAGTGTTCTCCAGTGCCTTTTGTCCGCTTTAAGGTGTTATTAAGGTAGGGTTAATGTTGCTCTCAAAGTGCACCAGATTGATGCTTTCAACTTCAATATTTAAAAAAATAGCATGCCCCCGGACGCCCTAAAGGATGTTCGGTCCACCCCCGACTTATAAAAAATAGCACTGTACCCATACACACTCAATTCCTTCTCCAGAATTGAGTACAACTTGGTTTCTATCCAAATGAAACATACCAACAGACAGTGAAACAAGGTTGATGATATCATTGTACACCCCGTGGGCTCATTGTGTACAGAAAAACTAATGTCTCTAAGAAGCCAATTGTAAACAAAGCTACTTACAGACATGAGTCAAAGTTAGTAACTACACGTGGCACCACATTTATCTGTCACTATAAAAGAGATGACTTCAAATGACCTAAGATTTTTTTTATAGGCAGTAAACATATTTTGTTTTAGGCATTTATACACTGAACAAAAATATAAATGCAACACTTTTGTTTTTGCTCTCATTTTTCATGAGATGAACTCAAAGATCTAAAACATTTTCTATATACACAAAATAACCATTTCTCTCAAATATTGTTCACAAATCTGAAAAAATCTGTGATAGTGAGCACTTCTCCTTTGCCGAGATAATCCATCCCACCTCACAGGTGTGGCATATCAAGATGCTGATTAGACAGCATGATTATTGCACAGGTGTGCCTTAGGCTGGCCACAATAAAAGGCCACTCTAAAATGTTCAGTTTTATCACACAGCACAATGCCACAGATGTCGCAAATTTTGAGGGAGCGTGCAATTGGCATGCTGACAGCAGGAATGTCCACCAGAGCTGTTGCCTGTGAATTGAATGTTCATTTCTCTACCATAAGCCGTCTCCAAAGGCGTTCCTTCTCCCCCAAGAAGATTGTTTTTTTAAATATTGAAGTTAAAAGCATCAATCTGGTGCACTTTGAGAGCAACATTAAGAGATCTATGGATACATCTCTCAACACCCATATGAAACAGAACTGTAAGCAGATTTTCTTTTTATTTATGGATATTTTACAAATCACTCCCCTTTTAAACTGTATTCTTGTTTATTAATAACAACTTTTTTTTACTGTCATATAGTATTTTATACTATAAGAGAATAGATGAAAATCTATTCTCTTATTTTCTTATCACTATAATGATCATATATAGGTGTGCCTTTACCTCACTGAGCTGAGCTTATCAGAGCCTCTCAGTCTTTCAGGAGAGAGCTCTCTAAAGCTCTCCCCCCTGCGGCCGCTTACACAGTCAATTCCAATGTTAATAAAAGCTGTATAAGTTTTTTGGGAGTTTGATTTATTTTAAATTAACACAAATACAAAATTAAAACCTATAATTGCACACTAAAACCATTATTTCAAAAAAAGAACTATTTCACATAAACCTCTGGTTTTTACTGGGGCTGGGGCGGTTCAAGGGCCGGCCCTGACCCGTAGCCCCTTTACTTTTTTAAAGGATCTGAGAACTTCTTTCAGCACTGGTGTACAGAAGCCTACTTATTTGAGGTGAAAACTGGTTCACCTCAAATAAGTGGCCACAGAGCTAACTCTTCCCTATTGATTTATTTATTAAAAAATACCACGTATTATTTCAAATACGCATATTCTAATGTGCTGTATACTTTAAGAATCCTCCATAAACGAGCATATTGGCCTTATTGAGAATATCCAAACATACATTTGCTGTTTACACAAATTGAATCCAATTCAGAATAGTCATGTTCTGAATAATAGTGGAATAGAGACAAAATAAGTTAAAAGCATGCATTTTATTTTAGTACGTTTTTGCGGTTGATTGATAACTGTCAATGAGAATTTTAATCAGCATCCAATTGATTTGACGTGAATGTCTCTGACTCACTATCATGATGATGAAACCGAAACAGCTGTCAAAGGGTGCTACCCATGCTTAGCACAGCAAAGCAAGGCAAGGCAACTTTATTTATAAAGAACATTTCACAACAAGGCAGAGTTATGTAGGAATGAGTCCTAAACCCCGTAAAGGAGTAAGCATTTTAGCACTTTGAGTTCCCTTGTCTTGAGTGTTTTCGAATGGGTTGTTGGTTGGAGGCCTAAAAAAAGGTAATTGGTTAAGTAAGACAAGCCCAAGAGAATTAAACATTTAATTCTCCAACAAATTCTAAATACCCCACTTGTCAATGACTGTATCTTCTATGTGTCGTAAAAAAGGTGTCATTTGGGATTGGAATTTAAAATTCTATGGATCTAGTACTTATAAGATCATTCTATGGCTGTGAACATGATAGGGAAAGAATTCAGCCCAGGTTCACATTACTGCAGGAGTTGAACAGTTGACACGCCTTGAACACAAATATCTAGAACGAGTTAAGACACCTCCATATAAGTGCGCTGTTGGAGAATTGAGAATGAAAGATCAGGAGGCTGAAAACATTGATGGCTGCTGCCAGTCAGCCACATTTGTGAAACCAGAAACCCCCAATAAGGTCTCAAGTAGATCCGAGGACGCTCTAGTTTTGATTGCAACAACTAAAGCTCTCCAACAACTAATTAGGAAAGAGTTAACTGATATTACAGAACCTTTTCTAAATATTATGACAGACTCTGCGTGTGAGCTGCTGCAATATCAAATCTCCCTGAAAAGTAAAATATTTTCAGATGAAATCGCCAATGTACTTGTTGAAGATGTTACAAGTCTGGAAGAGAAAGCTGCAAGCACCAGACCAACATCAAAAAAGACAAGCGAAAACAGAGATAAACTGTTCTTGAACGGAGTGGCATACAAGACAAAGACTTTCTTTGCCACGTGGTTTGCAAAACTGGCAATACATCAAATCGTGGCACAATATAGGGCTCAATTGTTCCCAGAATACCAAGTGAGAAGCAAGGATTCAATGCAATCCTTCCTTGCTGAGGTTGACTCTCTCCTTCTGACAGAAGATGGTACTAAACAACAAGAGGGAAATGAGCTTGTGTTTCGCAGATTGCAGGATATTTCCAACAGCAAAGTCTTGAGAAAAGAACTCATCGATCTTCTCTGCACTGCACAGAGGGGATGATTACTGACATTGTTCCAGGAGTAACGAGGATTTTAGTACACCCATCATCACGTGATACTATGTCCCATGAAATACATGGAAAACTGTTGCACTTCCAGGTACAGATGTGGCTGTGGTTGAATACACAGGCTGCCATCCACATTGACAGGATCACACTGGCTTTTAAAGACACCATGTCAGTATTACAAACACCCAGAATCGTAGGATCTGAGAAGACAGGTGCAGGATCGGTGCAGGATGCAGCAGCACATGCAGAGAACCACAAAAAGTCTGTCAGGAAACTTGTGGAGAATCTGGTTTCCTGCACCTTCAGAAAAGCAAAGATCAACAGCGATTTTGGAAATGCAGAGACCACCACTGAGATCCTGTTAAAAAAAATATGGGCTGCAGTGGAAGGAACAGATTTCAAAATCACCTCTGACACTTTTATACACCACGACAAGGCCGTTCACAAGGACCTGTGCAAGAAGTGGGGCAATGCAGAGATAGTGCTGGTTGCATTGTGTCTAGAAAGACCAGATGTGGTAGACTATATTGTCTCCACTTTCAAAAACCGCCTGATGAAACCACCAAAGAAGGGAAGCACCATCTTCAGGTTTTGCTCTTCAGTGGCCAAAGACTTCTCCAAGAACTGCACTCCAGATTTCAGATCTCAGGGGAGAATTTTCTTTTGAAAAGCAGTGCGGAGACCAGTGGCCTAAATGTTTGCCACCTTATTGTGTGAATTGATTCAACTAATGTTCAATAAAAGTGTTGACATTTATATTTCAGCTTATCTCTCTTATGCCTTTTCAGAGCTGTAAATAAATTAAGCTAAAGTATTTCTCAAAGGTATTGTGTTGGAAAACAGAACCATCTGTATATTGAGAATTGCAGCAGTACATTTGTATTTAACTAATACCTATATAATATTAAAGTAACAGTCATCCCTCATATGTTAGTGTTCAGGTCGTTAAGGTATGATTGTAAAACTTGGTTGGATCACTCAATTCATTTTTACCTAACCAATATCTGAGTCGTTTTCATCCAATATTATGATTTCATTGCGAAAATGCAATCTAAAAATAACAACCAAACAAAAAATATGTTTGAAGAGTTATAAGACAGTTTTAGATGACATTTTCAATTCAAATAGTTCTCCATTGACAGATTTATAATGTCAGTGTGCATGTTTCCTATTCATAGTGAGCATCTTGCAGTTAAAGTAAAACAAGACAAAACATATATTAGGTTGTATAATTGTTTACAATGAGTACTTTTGATTTTCATAGATCAAGTATGCTATTTAACATTGTATAAAACAAACAACACCTAACAGTATATTGAATTAAGGAGATGTATGTTCTTGTAAGAAGATATTCTTCCATTGGGGCTTTACCAATTTAAGTTTTAGGAGATTTCATTACCTCCACCCATAAGTAATTTTACTGGATATTCAGCCATATTAATTTGAGTTAATCCTATAAACAAAAAAACATACACAAAACATATTAGTAAGCAATTTTTTTTAATTGTGATTTGTTTTAATACAACTTTACATGTTCTGAGTGCAGAAGCGCTCTTCATCCCACTTGCTTCCAGTTAGTCCGACTCAAAAAGGAGTTTAACAGTCCAGACATATTGCCGTTGGGAACTCTGCTGTGAAAAGGAAAAAATATATTAAGCATATTTTGTTAACTACAAATATCTGGGGGACCATATTAAACATTATGGCAGCCCTGCTATGCATCTTTAAGCTTCACAATACATCTTTATTTTATGATAATAATTAAATATGTGATAATTTGCAAAATTTCTGCACCTCTTCACAAACCTCGAGAGAAAACGACAATTTAAAAAATGAGTTGCAATGTATTCAGATATGTTTTGTCTCACACTCCTCACCTTCAGGGTGACAGCTATGCATACACTCTGTGTCATTTCTAAAGTTGTTCAGGTTGCCCCCACACCCTCCAAAGATGAAGATCTCACAGTTCATTGAGGAGGAGTTGTAGAAGTATCTTTCGATTATCGCCCTACATATCGGTCCAGGTCCACCGATCGCTGGGTCTTTCTGACAGTCCTCTACAAGAAGAGAGAGATGCAGGAAGTAGCACAGAGAGAGGAAGACACATATTAGTAAGGACTTGACTCTAACATCAGTATCATGATGTCTCTTCCATTTAGTACACATTTTCATTGCTCACTGCAACAAATACAATGGTATACAGATAAACAATTGAGTTGATCTCTTACCTTTAGCATTGAACGGAGGCTGAGTTGGCAGAGGTGCGTTAAGGCCCTCCACAGTAGCATTATGCTCCACAGGACCCTCCACAGTAGCATTATGCTCCACAGGAACCTCCACAGTAGCAAGAGGCTGCACAGGAACATCCACCTGCATCACAGCCACAGACAGACTTAGCCACAAGACATTTAAAAACTCTGATAGATGAAAAACATAACATTCAGTGGAACCTGCTTCAAGATTGCCTCAAACTCGTTCTCCAATGTGGTTAGCAGCATCACAAATATGTTATTTCACTGATGATATGTATCAACATAAAACAAAAAAGCCAAAGCTCAAGGGACGGTTCAAAAAGAAAAGAAAGAATGATTGAAAATCCTCTATGGACAGATGTTAAGTTAAGCCACTCACCTGATCCATATCAACAGGGACACCCTGGAGGGTCCAGGTCCATCCCAGCAGCAGCACAGAAACCAGAATCATTGCTTTCTCCATCTTAACAATATGTTGTGTTAGCCTGTGTGTAAAATGTCTGAATCAAAGGCAATACATCTATCTTGTTGCCTCTGTTTCTTATACCCTCATTTCTGCCCAAATAAGGCATTGACGTGTAACTTGTTTGTTTTGTGGTTCCCCCGCATGTCCTTATGTTACTTCTTCAGCAAAGATAAGTTCTGCCCAACCTTTGACTTGGCTGTACACAGAACCAGGGGTTAAAATAGGGGCATTCACACCGCAGGACTTTCCCTGGTACTTTGGTTCTTTAGTTGCCTCAGGGAAAGTCCTGCGGTGTGAATGCGGCTATGGCACTAGCCCCCTGGCGGATTCAGTGCCGTGGGGCACTAAAGTACCGCAAGTCCTGCGGTGTGAAAGCGGCTATTGGGCCAGGGTGCTCTGACGTCATCAACCTTGCACATTTGCCAAATGTTTACAAAAAACGACATGTTAAAACTTTTCTCGTTCTTAATTTACACTATATATTTAAGGTCTATATGTGTTGACTTTATTTTAAAATAGCAGATCTGTGTGACCGGATATAGTTTTTCGGCTTAATGAACGTGTGTCTCTTCATATGATACAGATAATGGAGCAGTTACTTAGGGCCTCACACATTATAGCCCCCCCCCCACCCTCCACACAGAGCCTCCCCCCGCATAACATTAGACTAATGAGTCAGACGAAAGTAAATAAAAAAAGAAACTTATAACACAACAGATACGGGGACACTAAAAAGTGACACACACATCTGGGACCGGAGCGCTTGATGACTTTGGGGATTATAAAGTTGACCAACTGTCAATGTTGGCAGAGAAAGTCTGTTTTGTAATAAATGGAAGTGTTTTGTCATATCTGAAGTGAATAGGTTAGCTACGCTAGATAGCTAGCTCACAGCAGATCTGCAAAAATATCAGAAAGAATAATGCGATCAAATTGTTAAAACAAGCCAATAAAACGTACACTTAAGGTGCGTTTCCAGTGACGGTGATAGTTGGCTAACTGGGTGGCCTCAAAAACACATTTTCCCTGAAACATTCTGTTGACATTACCAGTCAAAAACAAATGAATAGATATTTGATGTCTGAAGTCCAGTGTCAATGTGTTTAGTTGCTCAACCAGGCCATTACACAATAGGTTGATGTTTTACTCACGTATTTATTTTGCCATTAGTCATTGGTCAATGCACTGCCTGGGCTGAAATAAGGAGAATAAGAAGGGGGCTATATTTCCATCAATTCTTGAAGAGACAGCTGGACATAAAGACAGACATTATGGAGAAAAAAACGATTGTGTTTTCTGTGCTACTGCTGCTGCTGGGGTGCATGTGGACCATCCAGGCAGACGTTGATGAGGATGAGGTGACTGGCTGACCTCTTACTAAACATTATGTTGGTTACATGTACATTTCTGTGGAATATTGTATGGCTGTGGGTTCTTTATATTAATGATCTGCTGTGCAAACATAGGATACGTTTAAAACGTGTTTTACCCTTATCTTAAAACATGTTTAATTGAATGTTTAGTGGAATATTTGTATAAAAGTTTTCAAATGTCTTGTCTGACTGTCTGTCTTTGGCTCGGAAACAGGTGGAGAAACCTGTGAATCCGACTGTGGATCATGCACACATGGAAGACTTCAATCTAACTCTGCTCTTTTCAAGTATGCCCAATAGAACCTTGTTCAATACAATAGGTAAGAGATTAATTTACTTAGCCCGGTACACTTGATGTGCAGTGAGGCTAACTGAGTGCTTGATGGTAGATTAGAGATCCTGAATCTGATGTTAAAATACTAACTAATGTTGTCTTCCCCTTCCTGTTCTCTCTCTCCCTGCAGAGGACTGTAAAAAAGCACCAGAAACAGGTCCTTGTAGGGCATACATGGAAAGGTACTTCTACAACCCCTCCTCAATGACCTGTGAGATCTTCACCTATGGCGGGTGTCTGGGCAACCTGAACAACTTTGAAGATAAGGCTAAGTGTATGGAGAGCTGTCACACTGCAGAAGATGAGGATGACACAAAAGATGGGTCTGATTAATTGTCCCATGTTGCTTTGAAAACACACACCAATTTAGACTGCAGCTGCCAAGTGTTAAACACTGTGTGAATGTTCTGTATCAGCTTTTGGACTGTCTGTATCACGATAATAAAGTTTAACATTTTACTTGTGCTGTTTTCTGTTTTTTAAGTATATTTATTTATTTAACCTGGATCAGTAACAGCATTAAAATGCTTTACAAAATAGTATTTAATCAGGGAACGGCCTGAATCAATAAACATATTTGGCATTGCTATAACGAACCAGTGTGGCAGCCTATCAAAAGACCATTTACATTTTTTTTTCAAGAATGGTCATACTTCATGAAACAAACTAAACAACAAATGTGTCCTTCACAAGTAGGGCTACATATGTTTTAAACACATGAATACACATCAATGTAAGGGAATCAAACATGAAAAGATGAGTAACGATAAACTTTCTTCAATCGTGTGTGTGATGAGTGGAAGCATGAAGCAAGGTGTCCCTAATTGTAGCTGCAATAAAACATAAAACTTTACAACTGTATACAGCTGCTGATACAGAAAGTAAATATTGTAACCATAAAATATAATGTGAAATGCTCAAATATCAGTATAAACACAATATACAGTATGAGAACATGTTATCTACAGCTTGATCTGATTACACCACACATCAGGAGTAACAAGTCTTTCAAAAAGTCCTTTCCGTGACATAAGGCTATATAAATACAAATAACTTGACTTGACCGTACCATACACTCTGTCTATTTTTTATTTTATTTGTTCAAGAAGCAAATAAGCACTACCTCAGCAGATAACAGTAACAAACAAGAAACAACAGACAAACAAACATAGTCATCCAGTGTTTTTATTGGTGGTCTGCTGGAATATAACTTCCACTGTTGGGGAGAAACTGATAATATTACCATATGAAAGTGTTTGTGATCAATACGAGTTAGTTGAATGTAATCAAATGACAGTTATGTAACACATTTAAGTAACAAATGGGTAACAACCAAATGTAATGTTTGTCTGTAAAAACTATTAAAAAAAGATATTGACAGATATCAGTGTTGAATACTGTTCTTACATTTTTAGAGAAATCTAAAATAAATCAAATATAATGAGTGAACTTATTACGTTTCTAAAAGGGTAACTACCTGTTATATATTACATTTATAAATTGACCTTTCCAACATTTCAGATATACCATGAGGGATGAGACAAAAGCTTGACTTTTTATTGGGATGCTGATTCAAGTTGCATCTCTGTATTATGATGAGCAGTTAGCTCAGTTTGCTTTCAGGAGCTCTCCCTCTGTAAAAGACCAAAAACACATAATTATTTCCTCATATCTGGGTGGATATTTCCATTTTTGTGTGTGTTTAATAACCCCTCACCGTCATTGACCACCCCGCAGTACTCGTCACACTCGGCCTTGCCGTAGAACTTGTTGGCGTTGCCCTGGCAGAAGCCCTGTTTGTACTGCACGCAGAGGCCCACGGTGGAGTCGAAGGCCCAGACAGGCGGCTGGCCGGTGCACGGCATGGCCGCCATTGGCAGGCGGCACACAGCTGGAGACACAACAGAGGAGAGTTCATATTGTCATGCATATCCAGGGCAGGGCTAGGCCATCCATATTACACGACTACTGAATATTTGAAGAAAAAAAATCTCCTCTTTAACTTTTTTTATTGTGTTATTTAAAAAAAAAAAACACACAACACAAAGGATTTTGCCAATACATTATGACTATTATTTTCCTTTTTTAAAAATGTATTATTCACAGCTCAAATCTTAGCATTGGGCAGCGTTTATTATATTTATATGTACATAAGTAATATAACCACACTATACATTGGTTTATATCCTTATACTGTCTATACCATACTATCACTATACTGTCAATACTGTTTATACTGTACATACTTCATCTGTTTATAGCCTAATTATTCATTCATTCATTTTGAATCTGAATCTGAATCTGTTAGTCATTTTAAATTTGGCCTAATAATGGGAATCCCAACAAAGGGTTTTGTGGGTAAGTGTGGGTGGGTTTGGTAGTCATCCTCTCTGAGTAATGGCCATTCCAAATTTGAAAAAAAGGAAAATAAATATATATATAATAAATGTTGCACAGACTAAACAGGCACTGGGCAAAAAATATTGATACTGCATGATTTGTAAAATACATTCAATAAGTAGAGGTTGTGTTTAGTATTTAAAATCAAACTCATTCATAATAACATTAGTTTACCAAAGTGCTGCACAATCGAATATAACAAAACAACAATAAGAACAATAGTAAACAATTGATAGTGAATTAAAAGTCAACCAAATATGTGTTTCATTCACTCCTGACCTTCAGTGCGACATCTCTGCAGACACTCTCTCTCGTTTTCAAAGTTGTTCTGGTTGCCCATACAGCCTCCGTAATTGAAGAGTGCACAGCTCATGGAGGAGGAGTTGTAGTAGTAACGCTGGTGCAGCCCGAAACATGGGCCTGTTTCTGGTGCTGCTTTACAGGACTCTACGTGGAGAAGTAAAGGGAGGATATTCTTATAGTTTCAACACCAGAATCAGCATCTCTTATCTTGCATTCAACACACATTCATTTTCACGAATGTCCTTTGTTTTAGAATAACATCTTAGCGTTTTGGGGTTAAGCTGATCTTACCGCTTCCATTGAAAAGAGGTGTATCATCACCAGAACCCTCGACATCTGCTGGAACCAGAGAAGGCACCACGTCTCTCCTCCTCCTCTGCATCAAAGCCCAGACACAAATGTCATCACTTATCATGTTTATAGCAAACACATATGTCAACAGCATACAGCTTTGTATTGTACTGTGAGGTATCTTAATGTATCTTAATGTATATAACATGTATATACAGTATATTACTTATTCCTTCATTTTACTTGCAACATTATGTCCCCTCCACTATTTTATTGTACTTTTTTATTTATTTCTTTGTAGGTTGCATTGTTGGAAGAGCCTGGGACTTGAAATTGACAATAACTGTTCTGTAGCTGTTGTAAATACAGTATGACAATAAAGTTGTTGAATCTATACACAATTAAAGCTATGAAGACAACTCTTTGAAACTCATTTGGACGGCAACACAATTTAAAACTACATTGCAGCATTTTGTTATAATAGTCAGTTACAGATGCCATGTAAAGCCACAACATCAAATGCAGTGTCCACCTAAACTCCAATGAGAGCGACAATGAGTGCTTTTATTTATTATATATAGAAGGTACATTTTGGTGCTCATATCTGTAGTTTTACTCCAAATACTGCTCAAAGGAATATAGAAACTATTTTATTAAATTAAAGCACAGTAGACTTGAATCACTCTTTAAAAAACAATAAAACAAGAACTATATTAAAAGTATTAATTGAATTGCCTTCAAATTAAATATATAATCTCAATAAGACCCTTTAGGTTAGATCGATTTAATGTATTTTGAGTACCTGAGCCTCAGGCTGAGCTGTCGGCTCTGCCACCACCTCTCCAGGAACACAGTCACCTGCAAACATTTTAAATTAAGACATTTAATACAAGACAACCATGCACTTTATAGCCAAACAAAGTCTGACTGTATTTTAAATTGTGCTTGTGTTTGTGCAAAACAAGTATTGCACATAATTACAATAAAAAAAGAGTGGAAAATAAACAATTATACAATATAGACATCTAAGAAAAGAAAATGAAGCTGAACTAAATGAGTGAAAACATAAAAGGTGATCTGAGAAATAAGACACTATTGACGGGCTAAATTACAGCCAACACAATATAAAAGTGGGATATTATTTACATTAAGTGTGCAAAAATAACATATTAAATTAAATATAAATGTACAGTGAGAAGTTATAAGTCCAGTAATGATGTGTGAAAATCTATATCTTACCTTTGTTCTGCTTAATTGTGATAGTGTCAGCACTCATTCCCTGATCTCTGACCAGTGTTTTGAAGTCCTCCAGCACCGTGTCTCTCACCGTCATGGATCGACCTAGACATTAATAATAAAGGGAAATGACTAAACTGAAACTTTAAATGAGAGGGAAATCCTAATTTAAATAATTGTATTGAATAGTTGAGATGTAAAATAAATATAAACAGGGTACCGAAGTTCATAAATAAACAAGATGCAGTGCGTATTTTGAGAAATGTCACTCACTGAAAAGCTTAAGTGAGGTGCTCGTATCCCCTCCTGACTTCTGTTTGCTCATTATTATAATCGCATACTCATTGTAGTTTGTGTGAACCACATAGCCATCCACGTCTGCCCCCCACTCTGTTGAAAAGACAGGAAGTAATATTAAAACCTGCAACAACTTCATGGACCAAATGTGATCTTAAAGCTGTATCACTGCAGGATTCAATAGAGGGAGACGTACTCGCAACATGGTAGGAGAATCGTCCTGGTGTGGTGGTCAACTCAAAATCCACAGTCATCTCCTTGCACGTTCCTTGTCTGCAAATACACAAACAACAAGACTTTTAGATATAAACTGTCCACAACAGCTTCATCTGCGCAGAATATATGATTGTTTTATAGTACACAGAAGGCTTTGTCACTGCAATGCCACAGTGTAGCAATTCTCTTTTGCAAGAAACAGAATTAGCCTCATAACGGATACAAATACCTACAGTTTAAACATTTAGTATGCAGAAAGACACATTTTAGAATAATGTAATTCCATTATTTGTTCTTGTTTGTGTATTAAAAACCTTTTCATCATGATTTAGTAGATCATATTTTTTATTATTAATGTTATCTATCCGAGTAAAAAGTAAATATTCCCCCAAGAAGATTATTCGTAAACAGGTAGAAAGTGAAATAAAATGAAAATACTCAGGTGAACTGGGTACTTTTGTGATATTCTAATATAAACTACGATGTTTGATATGTGTTTTAAATTATAATGTACAATCTATTTGTTAATTAAATGGTCTTGATATCTGATTATCTAGGATTAACCTTGTTGTTATAATATTTAAGGAGAACATTTTTCAGTGTATTAGTATGTTTGTGTGTGTACATGTGAACTCCTTACAAACCTGAGTACCCTCCGAGTGGCCTCGACTTTGCCCTGAGTGGTGCCGCTCTGCAGAACCAGTGTACCAATGGCT